GGTCAAAGTGAGTTGTTTGATGGTGTAGTTGATTTTTTAAATGTGTACGTATTTGCATGTAATTATCTTAAATCCGAGTTACAACACCGTCTAATTGTGAAACTGTTTCCAAAATAGGTAACTAATAAATAGTATATGAGTCAAAAATATTGTATTTGATTCAAAATCAGTTTGAGAATTCCTCTATTCTCTTACAACCAATTATTTTTTTGCCTAATGTAGACCGTAGCCCACCAGGGGATAGAAGGTAATGAAAAAGCAAACGATATAACCAGAAAAAGAGCGAACACTCCACTAACTGTACCAGAGAAAACCAAGTGGAAACCAACTTAAAGCGGAACTCAAGAACCTGAAAGTCTCCATCCGTAACCTGGAATAGAAATCCTCTAAAGGTCTAAGATAAAGGACAAGAACGTTCTACGACGTTTCCGACACCTAACCTCCACTCTTGTCTATTTAGCCAGAGATCATCAGGTATTTCTCTATTTTCTAGTTCTTTATCCACACCCTCCCTCCAGCTTCGTCGCGCCCTTCCTCTTTTATTTCTGCCTCGAGGTGTCCACAGTAAAATTGGTATTCTGTGATCGGGCATTCGTTGCACATGACCAAACCATACGAGTTGTTTTGTTCTTATGTCGTCCACAATTGTGTGTTCTGCTCCCATAATCTCCCTTACTCTGTTGTTGGTTATTTGTTATCTTTTCGATTTTCCAGCAGATCTCCTCCAGTAATCCATTTCGGTCGCTAATATCATGTTCTCTGTTCTGCTTTTCAACTGCCATACTTCGCTTCCGTAAGTTATTATGCTTTTCACTACCGTATTTTATATGTTCTTATTAGCTTTAGAGATTCCTTGATCCCACAGTACACCATTCAACATAGTCCCTCTGCCTTGCATTATTCGATCTTTTATACCCTCGTCGAGTTTTCCATCGTTAGTTATTTTTAATCCGAGATATTTATATTTGTCACAGTTTTTTATCACGCTTCCATCCTCTAAGACTATGTACTCTTGTGGCCCCCCTACAATCATACATTCAGTTTTGGTGATATTTATCTCCAACCCCCATTTCTTATACTCCTCTATCAGCTTCCTTGCCATATATTCAAGGTCGTCGTGATCTTGGGCTAGGACTATCTGGTCGTCCGCAAAAAATAGGGTGTATAGGGTGTCCTCATTTATTTGTGGGATTCCCATTTCTCTACACTTAAGCACCCATTTTTTAGTGCTTGTTGCAGGTATATTTTGAATAGTATAGGAGATAGGCAACATCCCTGCCTGAGTCCTTTTGTAATTTTTATGCTTTCTGACAATGAGTCTCGTATTTTTATTCTAGATGTGGTGTTCTGGTGTAAGTTCTTAACTGCTTTAAGTAGGTTGACATTTATATTAGTTATTTCCAACGTTTCCCACAATTTATTTAATGGTATGCTGTCATAAGCCTTTTGGAGGTCTATATATAGTAAGTGTACCTCTTGATCTTTTGCCGTTTTTTTCTCTAAGACCTGTGTTATGGTAAACAGATGATCCACAGTAGACCTTCCTGCTCTAAAACCCGCCTGTTCTTCTATTTCTTTCTCTTTATATTCATTCAAGGTCTAAGATACTCGATGAAATTTCTCAGAACTTACGACCGAGAAAAATCAAAGATTTTCCTTGATGTAAGTAAGGATCTTTGGATTGTCACGATATTCTTAACAGGAGACTCACTCTCACAGTCTCCTCAATGAACGCCTCAGTAGATTAAATCTAAGAAAGAACGGCGAATGCAGATTCTGGTGGGAAAAATGGAGAAACATCAGAACACCTCTTCACTGTGTGCGCCGAAATGACAACCATACGTGCCATAAACTTTGGTACGACTGATATCGGAGATGGAGAACTAACCTCTCTAAAACTGTCACAGATACTGGCTTTTGTCAAAGCCCTGTGACTGTACGATGAGTTATAAGTCAAGGGAGGGTGACACAATAGATCCATAAGGTCGCGGATGGATTAATATTCCCCCTTCCATACAATCCACAATATATGTCTAATGTAGACCTATACTGTTATATTGAACAAGTCAACGACATGTATCATAATTCTGTATGAACAAATCTAAATGCATAATAATTATTATTCTAATAATGCTACAAGTACAGACTAACTTCGATAATGAATTGTAGTTTATATGCAACATTAAACAATTAAAAATACATTTGCCATGAAGTGAGTTGTTTGCATACATTCAACCTTGTCAGATCTAATTGCGTCTTTCCGGTATTCCATCAACCTAACATATAATCTTAATTTTTTTTCTACCAAAACGAGATGTACGAGTTGAAATAGTTAGTTTGTAAAACAACAAGAAATAACGTAGGCGATAATTGAATGTACTGAAAACAATTTTAAGATTTGTTTTATTTTACCAAGCATCTTCATTTTAAAGGATCTAATAATCAACTAGTCTTTTATTTTGTATACTAATATACTATCAGTTAATTTTTTAAATATTAAATATTTTGTTGCATTGTAAAATTTATTAACATTTTTAATGAATCCTTCTGAGTGGTAATTTTAAATATGAACTGTTTTTTTGTACACTGTATTCTACAAAACGTTAGGTTATTAAATTACCATTATTTATTAAATTATACAAGTATAATATACCTAGTAGATATTGTATTATATACAATATCTACTAAGATTTATTTTCTATACATAATATACTTACAATAAAAATAATTATAGATATTTGATGTCAAAACCCATTCTATTCTTTTGTATGGACACACGAAGGGGAACATAATCTCTTCCAGTCTATTGTGTTATACCCTTACTTGAGTTATAATGACAGTCTCAGGGCTTTGACACAGCCAGTATCTGAGACGGCTCCACAGAGACCGTCTCCAACATCAGCCTTACCAAATTTAAGGCACGAACGTTTGTCGTCTCGTATTTTTTACAAAGATAATAAATATAATATTAAGATATACTATATAATATATTTGATATCAATTAAACTTTTAGTTACGTAATCGTGGGCGCGATTTTTAAATTCACTGTTGCCAACCATGGACATATTGAGCGCCGGGCTAACTGGAATTTAAATTTCGCGCTGCGGATTCAGGTGCTAGCTCTGTTGTAAAAAATGTCCAGTTTGCCACATTTATTTATTTATTTCCTGACATCATAGACAAAAGAAAATAACCACCTCCTGACATTGTGATTCGTTTCGTACTTTATTTTTTGTATAACGAGTTTTTGGTTTAAATAAATAGTGTTGTGATAGGTTATGCTTAAAAATGTTTACTAGTAGACCTTGCAGTCCAACACTGTTCTTTTTAGAACCTCTTTTAGTGCGAAGTGTACAAGATAGCTTAATAGCCCTAAAAATTTAATCGTAACTTTATTAGAATATTTTTGAACGGGAAAGCGATAGTAATGGCCGTTTATGTTCCTTAAGTGCTGTTAAGAAGATGAGTTTTGCTGATGTAAATAATAACTGTTTATATACTTATAATTAATTTATTTTTGTTTCCCAAAATATTGATAATTTGATTAAAAGAGAATATGTAAAACTGGGCAAGGCTGTGCCGGTCAAGCTTAATCACGTGTCTAAAAGTTTATCTGATATGAAGGATACAGGAACGAACGGCATAAAGGTAGATTTGTATTAAAAAAGGTGTCTTGGTTACCCTGTAAATGGTGAGGTAGGTTGAGTAAAAAAATATCCAGTTTTTGAAGCTATTTTGAAACAGATTTGTTTGATATTTAAAGAAATTTTGCCCAGAACAAATAGGCAATGTTTTATATTAAGACTAGCGTGTACCAGCGACTTTGTTCGCGCCGAATTAATCATTTGTAATGGTGATGATGAAGCAAAGCAAGAATTTCCATTAACATATAAACTGGATAAAATTTTCTCACATTTATGTCAGCATGAGAAAAAACAATATGGCGATATTATTATATAACTTGGTAATATTTGAGGGGTAGTTTCATCTCGTTGGAATTTGACTTTCGAAAAATCCGTTTGCCAAAAATAAGTTTTTTACGTCGAGCAGTTTAAGCAGAATCGTGGTTAAGAAATTATCGAACGTTTTGAAACACCCTGTATGATTTTTTAAAAAAATTCAAAATATGGAAAAAAAAACAAATAAATTATGCTTGTCCAAGCGTTTTCCCGAAAGACTAACCGTTTTTTAAATAACAAATATTGGAATATTTGAGGGGCGTTTTCACCCTCTTGTAATTTGAGATTCGAGAAACCCCTTCTTATCGAATCTCTACACCCCACAGTCAATCCGTTTGCCAAAAATCAGCTTTAAACGTCAAACAGTTTAAGCAGAATCGTGATTACTCAATGGTCATATTTTATGAAACACCCTGTATAGATTTATAAAAAATCTTAAAATATGTAAAACAACAAAATAAAATATACGTGTTTAAGAGTTTTTCCGATAAACTCACCGGTTTATAAATAAAATATATTTTAATATTTGGGGGATAGTTTCACCCCCTTAGAATTCGAGTTTCGAAAAATCCCTTCTTATCGAACCTCTACACCCTAAAGTCAATCTGTTTTCCAAAAATCAGCTTTTTACGTCAAGCGCTTTAAGCAGGATCATGATTAATCAATGACCAGATTTGACCACCCTGTATACATTTTTAAAAAATCTTAAAATATATAAAAAAACAAAATAAAATATACGTGTTTAAGCGTTTTTCGGAAACTTCACCGTATTTTAAATATAAAATATTGTAATATTTGAGGGGTGGTTTCACCCTCTTGGAACTGGAATTTCGAAAAATCCCTTCTTATCGAACCTCTACACTCTAGAATCAACCTGTATGCCAAAATTGAGCTTCTTACGTTGAGTGGTTTGAGCAAGATCGTGATTAATCAGTATGTCAGTCACTTAAGGATTTTATATATTAGAATAGATTTCGCCTACTTTCAATTGAAACATTTTGAAATATGACATTCTTAAAACCAGGAAGTAAACTATAAGATTTACGCAACTTTGAATATCTACCACCTGAAGTGGCGAATGATTCACTCTCTTTTCCTATTCAGTTGCTGACATTCTTTTGATTATAACAGAGGTTTTTAATGCAGAACAAGATTCATATTGCACCACTGACCGTCTCTCACCCATCTTACACGTAAACTCGGTTCTGCGAAGCTGAATCACCAAACTAAAGATCGCGAAAAGCATCTAACTATTCATTAAAATATTTCGCAGGTCTGTTTCCGAGAAGAATGCCCGGTATGGTGGTGCCCACGGGGCATGTTGGGCTATCTCGGTTCGGCCCCATATGGGCATTGGCTCGTTGTAAAGGATCTGCTTTTCTTCGAATTGTCTCAGATAACAAATTGAAGAATAAAGACGGTATTCGTGTCAAATTAATGTCACCGCAGATGCAAGTATGGAAACAGGAAACAAGATTTAAGGGAGACCATTTTAGAATAAAGGATGCGGCGGATATACGATTAGGGTTATACAGAAAATGCAAAATCTGGTTTGACTTATGAAAAATGATCTAGTTTAATTAGTTATTTTGGTCTCTCTGTACTTAATTTTTGATATAACATAGGGATAAAGGTAGCTGATATACTAAAGTATCTCTTTCTAAATTAAAAATGGAAGTTGCCATCTGTCAACTATATTTTGGAAAACAAATCTCGATATTTTGGTGAAAGTTTGAACCACTCTTTGGAGTCTGTTAATACAGCAAGGAATTTAAAAATAATTTTATCATCTAGGTGTGTCTTTTCTCGATTGTTTGTTTTTGGATACATCTCAATAGCTTTATTTTTTATAGAGATATTGACTTTTGAAGAAGACACTAACATTTTTTTATATTTTTTATATTAAAGACATACTTTTGCTTTTGGTCCTAGTCAACAGGCCTATAAAACAGTGTTTATGATTTATGTAATGTCTGTCTTTGAAAAATCATATTATTATTGTCTGTTGGGCAGTTACTTTACCAGAAGGATAGTTTTAAGTTCAAAAGTTGATCTCTACCATCATCAATTAATGCAGCAATAGCCGATAATTCAGAACTTAAAACCATCTCTACTAGAGTAAACGTTAATTAACATTAATAATATGACTTTTCAATGGGATTGACATTATAAAACCATAAACACTACTTTATAAGTCTGTTGATAAAGACCCAAAAGCAAAAGCGTGCTTTCAATTCTA